ATTATTCTTTTGCCACATTAAGTTTGCTTTAGTTTATTTAAATCTACTTTATTTCTGTCGAAAGTCTCGGGCATCATATATATTTGTATACATATAAAATATTTTTCAATGAAGCTCTGCAACTGAAGTCAATGAATATTCTACTTCGGTTCATAAATTTTAAATCAGAATAATTGCAAATTTGTATTAAATTATGATAATATTTTTTTAATCAACAGATATCATTATTTGATATATTGTAATTTATAAGAGAAAGAGTAGTATTGTATTGAATTCATAATGCCCGTTTTCTCACTTAATGGTTAATAAATTTGATTTATCAACATAGGAACAAAACAATCACAGCAAAAACAAAATTCGCTACATACGGCTGAAGGGGGATAAAAGAAAAGCATTATGTTTGCATGGACATATATTGGCAAAATAGAAAAAATTAAAAAGGAAAAAGGCTTAAAAATATCCCATTTCGTTAATATTTATTCTTGCTTTTATTTGGCACAAAATACAGAAGAAAATGGCCGAATAAAGGTTTTTATTTATGTGAAATAAAAACGAAGCAAGGCAGTAGGTTTTATTATGGGATTTATTAATCACCAAATTCAGTACTTTGCAACAGTCGTTTATAATCAAAAGTTTTATTATCATAGATTATTAAATAAAGGTAACTTAATGTAATTAAACCAGATAACTGAAAAGTTATTATAAACTACCCAAAATACTTAGAAATATTTAGCAATTGATTCTTTTATTTTAATGTATTGAATAGTTATGAGTGTAAAAGGCCTTTTGAAATTAAATCATCAAATTCAAAATTAAAGTAAAAGATTCTTTTGAAATGTTTATAATTTAAAAGCTTTATCCAGAACAAACGAAAGTTTATTTTTGTACTTGGAGATCCCACCAAGAGCTGAATAAAGAATAGGGATGTCAGGGAAGTTAGACTTTGGCTAAAATTTCGAGAAATGTTCTTTCTGAAAGGGCGTTTTCGTGGCTTTCCTCACATGTTACGTGAATAAAGCTGGTTTTCCGCGGAAAAGTTTCCCAATAAGTCTTTCTCTTCTCTAAAGAGACACTTCTAATGTCCTTTGCGATAACTTAACAAATTCTTGCACTTAAGTTTTTAAAAAGTTTTTTCACTTTTCAGTTCTTGAATTGCCCTTCAAAATGGTAGTTCAAAGCTGTAGAATTTCCAGAATTATGTTATACGAGGAAAAATAAGTTGAACTGCTAAGGCAGTACGTTGCCTTTAATTAGTCTTTATAGTATCCTCTCACTGAGAGAGATTTCTAAAAACTATGAAGACAATTCTATTAGAGGAAAAATAAAAATTCAAAAAACGACAGTTGAAAAAAATATGAAAGCTTTCAGATTTTATATTACGACCAAAGGGCATATTGTTAACATTTTGTGTGTTACCTTTATTTATTAAATACCATGCTCTTCGCACTTAAAGCACATAAAATTCCATCAACAGCAATACCACAAAATATTTTAAAACAGCATATCTTTAGAATGTCCGATAGACAGTCTCGCGCGCTAGAGGTAAAAAATGTATTTTTTTCCCGTACAGTGTTGCTATTGCTTCTTTTGAAATTGTTGAGTTTGTTAATCAAAAATTCGTTAAACTTTTACAAACTATGGAATGGATATTAAAACTAATTCGAAATTCAAAATTCGGAATTCCAGGTGCCCATGTTAGAGTGGAGGATTACATTATTAAAAATTTGATGGCTCTAGGTACCGTAATTTTTTCACAGTGCGAGAAACATACATTTCATGCGGATTTTTCATTATTTAATTTCTTTAAATATAATACAGGCCGACAATATTTCGTGGTAACAATTTAATTAGTGATTCGCCGTTTATCGTGAAACGTCACAAAATGCCGTTTTGAGACTAATAGCGCTTTTGGACTAAAAAAAAAAAAAAAAAAAAAAGTATAGCTTGTAATTACGCTACAATGCAAGAAAATTGAATTCCGTTATTATTTAAGGTACAGTTAATTTTCTATAAATTTTGAAATGAAAACAATTTAAGGCTATACATTAAGTTTAAATCTTATCCCCAAAAGCATTTGGCTCAGAAATAGGTTTTAATTAAAAATAGATAGAAGTTATTGTTGCATAAGATAATCATTATTTGAAATTTATAGCGAAAATGTAGTTCGAATGACGTAAAAATGTGAAAATCCTAGAGTAGTAAATGCTAGTAAAAATCTTAAATTTTGAATTTTTTGCTACTTATACTACAAATTCGCTAATGATGGATGTTTTTCGGCGGAAATTAAAAGAACTCTATGTGTTTAATAGTTTCTATAAATTGAAGAGATCCACAGATACATCTTTGATAATTATTTGATCATTATACCTCTAGCTTACTGATGTTATAGATCATCACGTGATTTATAATCCACAAGAATTTTAGTGTAAGATTTGAGAGGTTTTCCAACAGCAATAAACGTCGAGAAGGATTGATTACATTAGATTTTAAAAAAGGGGAAAAAATATTTTCAGACTAATTACCTGTTTTATTTTAAATAATAACTCGCGGTACTGAAAAAAAGAAATATTAATAAATAGGTGATTTTTTTAAAATTAATTTTCAATATTATGAGTTGAATTAATTTGCTAAATGTTAACATTGAAACTACTTTAATATAAATAACTTTTATGCTATTTCACTTCTGCATTGGGAAAGGCAAATAGTGAGAAAAGAACGAGATTTAACAAATTTGCAATCATTTTACATGCCGTGAGCAAAGAAACATTACAACAATTCTCACAGGATGCAACAGACACATCACAATTAGCTCAAAATGACAAAATGCATGCTAAGGAAATTTTCTTAATTAAGACTCTAAAATTGCCCACTGGAGTGAAGAAAAATCAAAAAACAGCTAAAAAAAAAAAAAAAAAAAAAAAAAAAAAAAAAAAAAAAAAACCACTGTTTTTAACGCAGGTTTGCATAATATTTTTTTAAAATGTTCAGTTTTGAAATGCTACAGGCAAAGCTCACAAGTATCAAAGAATATGAAAGTCAGGCATATGTTTAACGACAGCGTAGTAGAAGAGTGGAATCAAGTACTGGGTAATTGGAATTGTAAATTTATTTTCAGTTAGCGGCAGTGAATTTCGACTATTGGGAGTTTAAGTATGTCAGGACGAAAACAAAAGCAAGAAACACTGCTTTACAGTATGCTTCACTAATGTGGAGCGATCCGAGATCTTCGATTCGTATGCGAAGTATTTTGGAAGAGTTAATACGCTATGAATTCCTCTCTATTTAATGAATGAAGGGCAATACTTAACTGGATAATACCTAATCGAATGATACTTGTCTTTGATAATTCAAAAATGAATGCATTCCAAGAACGAAATGGCGCGCTTTTTTCCACAGAATATCTCAGTTGAATATGTTTGGATCACTTTAGATATTTTACAGCTCCAGACTCTTCATAGGAGATCGTAAAAGCTATCAAATGCTATTAAAAAGTACTGGAACTATATCCTGAAAAAACCTTTTCATGTTCATCTTCATAATCTTTGCAAAGATTCGTATATATTTAGTTTACCTGGTGATTTAATATCGTTGTTTGTTATTTTCGCTCTTGTATTCAGTAAGAAAATTAATTTTTTAATTGGATAAAATTTGCTTTTATGAGTTTGGATCTAAAGATCTTGTGCAAATTTCACTTTTCTGTTTAAAAAGCAACAGAAGTTAAGCCTATTTTTGTGAATTAGACTTTAAGTTTTCAGTTCAGTGTATCTGAAAAGATATTTGAGATATTTTGTACACAAGTGAAAAGAAATAAAAAGGTCAACTAAGAATTAAGAAAGAAATTGAGAAAAGTCACTGAGCTGTGAAATCATTAGTCATATTATTTCATTTTATTAATAACTTTTTCCGAGTGATTAAAAAATCTTCCATCGAAGCAAATTTAAATGAGTAATTAAGTCATCTATCTATCTTTGAGAGCAAGCCCTTCAAGTGGCTGCTTATCGTCTGCTTTTCTATCCAATGAAGTATATATTTTTGAAATTAAATAAATAAATGAAACTTTACGGTGAATGAACTCAGATTAAAGAATAATAGGATTACTGAAATTTTGTTGCAGCTTAACTTATCAATCCTCTATAAATTTACTTCAAAACAAACTCAATGCATTAAAAACACATTCTTCCCCTTTTTCTTTACAAAAACCAAAATTTGTTATTTCTGTTTTGATGGATAGCCGCATTAAAATTTATTTTCATCAGGGATTTGTTTTAAAGAAACTGATAAAATTTGTAACAAGAGCAAAAAACATTGCTCCTGAATTCTTGCTCGCACTGCAATACCGAGCGATCGATAGGCCATGTTTCTCTTCCACGGTTATCATCATTTCGGAAGAATTTTTTTCATCTCTAGGCTATGTTCCCCGAATTTTATGACATTAAACTTATGAGGCATGTATATTCTTACGCAGTTGGCAATAGATGGTTCGTTAAGCATTTGAAATTTTTTACAGGCTATTCCTCTAGCACATAAAAATGATGCTTAACATACCGTATTCAACATTTTGAAATGCCTTTGTGAAGAGGATTCCGTCATTGAAAATTGTCTATTCTATAAAATTTCTCCCACTATTCTACTTCCGTTACGGCTAAGAAATTTTATACATTTTAAAAACACCACAATAAAAAATTTAATCTTATTTTAAATCTGCCTTTAGTCATAAAAAAATTGTATTAAGCGCACGAAATGCCATAAAATTACGCTGCAAAAATAGCCTTAATTGGGTCTATTTCTACAAATACACAAATAATTTAGTAGTTTAATTTTATAACGATCAAAGCGTGTCATGCGTAAGTTGCTAATGAAATTTCTTTTATTTGTTTTATGTTACCGAGTACAAAATATTGAAAAAAAAAAAAAAAAAAAAAAAAAAAAAAAAACTTAAGAGTTATTCACTAAGATGTAAAATGTTGAAATAACATAAGAAAGGACAAACCTATCCATAGTAATAGTTAACTTTTTCATTGTTCTGTAAACATCAAAGGTAATTAACATATTTATAATTAGGAATACGCAACGTTCGTAACAGTGCAGAATAAATAGAAAATAACTTAGCATAAGGTCAATTCTTTTCTCATTCGTTTGAGAACTTTTATCATACATGTTACAGGAAATCCATACAATCGAGCACCTCTTCTGAAAAACATCAGTGGATAACATCAACTTCTTAGTTTGTCAAATATTTGAACCATGAACGCTGTATTTCAGCAGTTTTGTGAGGATCTTCCCTTTTTGTACATAATTTTACATTTCATTTACTAAGAAACATTCATCGACTTAAATACGAAAACACAAACAAGTACAGAAAAATTTATTTAAACGTATAGATATAAGTACTACACATTTATGAGTTAGTTATTCATTTTGATACTGAACTTAAACATACAATCAGAATATCAAGTAGTTAAAGAACTGCAAAGGAATGCATTAGCACATCATAATACATCACGATTTGTATCAGTTACTCACTAAAATTCCAGAAACTACATATAAAAAAATACGTTTATATGCGTTCTCTCTTTTAATACTTTCTAACAGTAAAATCTATAGTGCCATCTGGCGCTCAATTTCTAAAACAGAACTAAATTATTCAGCAATGACAAAAGAAATTACAGCGTTGTCTATTTTGATCTCTATAGATATAAGGCTCAAGAAGCAGCAGGAGAGGACGGAAAGTTTTTGAGAACGTTTCGTCGGTCAAAGATCTGTGACACTTCTCGCATTTACCACGCGAACCATATTTTTTTGCCCGATTTCGTCGAACTTTTTGATTCCAAAGTCACAGCACGAATTTAGGGGTGCAGTAAAATATTTGAGAATTTAAGGTCTCACTCCTGCTGCAATACTCGACAAAAATGGACATATTTCAAACACAGACATAGCTAGACACTGAATAAACTAAATACAGAAGAGCTTTCTCGAGCTTTTACGCAAAGACTACGTCTCTTTTACTACGCAAATGCGAACTGCTTCATTTCCAACTTTTATACACTAAATACTTTCAGCGATTTTTTAAGATGGAAAGCTGGAAAATCTGGGAATGCGCATTTTATTCTTCAACAATTAGAAGATTTCTTAATTTAGAGTCGATTCTGTAAATAAACTGATACTTCTGTTTTGAAAATTCTAAATTTTTGTTGAAGTTAATTATTTGAGCAAAGGAAGTTTGATAGAACATTATTAGTGTACGCGCAGCCATAGGTGTTATTATGTACACTAAGGTAATTTAATTATGTGCACAATTAAAGTGAATTCTCTTTAAAAATCAGCTGTTCCTCTCATTCTCTATAGGCTTTAACACATCTCTAGAGATTGAGAGAAACAGATAATTCTGAACATTCTGCTGATACCCTAAAACATGGGTTCTACTGACACTATATTTAATTCATCATTGTTACTTGAAGGCAGATTGACTAGCTAAATAAAAATAAGCAATATTAGACCTTTAGGTGAGATTTACAGCATTTTTTTTTTAAATTTTGAAAATACTTCAATAAGAAGCTGCAGTATTACTTTTATTTAGAAGCGGGAATTATATGAATTATATTATATGCGGGAATTAATCTGCGGAAGTATTACTTTTATTCAGATCCTGTTCCAAATGGGAAAATGAGCGAAAGAAGGAGAGAGGGCGGGGAAGTACAAGATTTATTTTTAAAAAATAAATAAATAACGTATTTTATAAATATTAGGAAAATTAAATTTAAATTTAAGAAATAGAAAGCATAGCAAAGAGTATAAAATTAAAGAATTGAAAAGCAAATATACACAGAATCAGATATAAAAAAAGTAAATTCAACTATATTTTTTCTTTAAGACCATACGGTACGAGAGTAATCTATGTATTAAAAAGATAATCTACATGCTAAGTGAAATGTGTTTTAAACCAGTGGTCTCAAAGTGGGAGGGGGGGCCGCGTGTGGCTCTTGACGCTGTTCTTTTCTGTCCGCCATTACGTTTCAATTAGGTATTTGTTTTAATACGTGCTGACTGATTTCGTTCCCACTAGCAGCCGAGCGAAAAAATTACTGAACACTGGTATTTCCGACCCGGGCTCGATTCTAGGCGCACGGACAGACTGCATGAGCGTTTCCGTGGTTTTCCCTACGTGTGATGTGTATACGAGCTAGTTTCCCTTAGGAAGTCCTCCATGAAGGCGTCCTTTCCCTTAGGCAGATAACCCTTGCATGTTTTGCCATAATTAAATAAACCAAACCCTTGATTTCGACATAACATAAATTCATCGGGCAGTGGACTGCAATACATAGTTTATTAAGAAACTAGAAAAGCACTAGCAAATATTTAAGCAGTCGTTACATTTCAGCCGAGTTCGAAGTTTGCTCTGACAGGCCCGCAAAAGAAGCTGAAAGAAAATGGACATTAATCATCGCATCTCAGGAAATGACAGTTTAAAACATCAATATAAACAACACTGGACATATATAAATTGCATTTATATGCGCGATTGCTAGTGATCGAAAAAGGAAATAAAATGTATAGAATTGCGATGTCAGTTAAATGAAAAATTTAGAGACCTTGTATACTTGCATGCCAGGCCACATGACTAAACTAGGTGTCACTTCGATACAACCAATAAATTTACTTGTCGGAACGAAAATTGGAAAAACTTTTATATTCCAACGTGTCCGTTTTTTTTTCGTATTGAGTTGGTACTTCTGCTTTTCTTTAAACAGGTACTAGTTGGTTGAGAATTAACAACTCTAATAAAAGGGTTCGAATGATGATGACCATTTACAATCCGGAATGAAAGATAGTTTCCAATAATTTTTCTCCAAGGCCATAGAAGTTATCAGACATGAAACGCCATCAAGTCTCAAGCTGTAGTGAAAAACCGAGAAATGTATATTTATTTATATACTATTGTCTATATTTTTTTTGCATGTGTCGATAAAATATTTAATACAAAAAGGAAATCTCAAGTTTTGTTCTGGGAAAGTTTTCTGCGGAAATTCGGTAAGATTTAACAAATTTTGTATTTTATGCTAAAGGCACATTATTTAGTAGTAATTTCAAACCATTAGAATTATTTGAAATAAATATTAATCCAAAAAATTTAATATTCAATTGCTAGTGCATTTGAATTACGAAATGCGACCAACAGAAATTTGTTACAGATAGAAAATTAGCACGATAAATTTGAATATTTTTCTTTGCATTATTATTATTTGTTTATGTCTGTTTAGGTAAGTGGAATTTGAAATTAAGTTAAAATTTAGATATTTATTTGAAATTTTGTCCCAAAAAAAATCTGCTTCCCGTGCACGCGGCTCTGTGCAATTTGAGTTTGAGACCACTGTTTTACCTTAAAGCAATTCATATAATTTTCAAACTAATTTAGATTCGAAAGGAACTACTTTATGAATTAAATGAAGAAATTTAAGATCTTCATGACATTTACTCTGACCGAAAGAACTTTATGGTTTCAAAAAAATTAGCTGAGAGGTTATTGATAGATTTACAAATAGCGAAACGTTTAGCTGGAAATTAACTTTTAAGTTATAAATAAGTATTTCATAATATCATAATACTTAATATGTTTTCGTAATCTCAGTTGTTTTAAGTGACATAACAATTAAAAAATACTATAAAATAGTAATACGCTATTTAATAAGTACACAAGAGTACTCCTATACAATAGTAGTAGATTCACATACAAACTATGAAAGACTTAATGTGAAATAAGAAATAAATCATTAATGCATTACCAGTGCGTTACCATTGCATAGTACAATTTTGTCATTAATTATTATATTTGACTACAAATTTGATTTAAAGACGAAATTACGAGGTATATTTTAGATTTGAAGGAAAAATATCTAATTTTCCATAAAAAATTAGGCGTTGAGTTGAAATATGTTTTAATAGCTATGCTAAACTGATAAAATTTACATGTTTCTGAACCCATGTTTTAGATTAAGTATGCAGATTCCTATAACCGCTTTGTTTTTTTTTTGGGGGGGGACATATGATCAGTTTTCTAATACAAATATTATCTAGAACAATTTTTGTGCGCATCCTTCTCTATTGTGCGTTATTGTTTTTATTCATGACTGATTTTAAGATTTAGTAATTTGATGTGTCTTGTGGGCGGTTGATCAAAAGCTCCAGATTTACTCTCCAATATATTTGAATTCTTTTCGCATGAAATTAAGGTAGTTTTTGACATAAATTATTGCGGTAAATTAAGCTATTCCATTTGAAATTACCAATTCTTTTCTAAACATAAAACATAAATAAAAACTCTTTTATATTTTAAAGAAATTGTAACTAAATGAATATTTCTACGACAGAAAATCATATCGTTATTAACTGTTTGAAAAATTCTTCAGACTTACTCTTTCTAAGAAATTTTATGAAATAATCATGACATTATGACTCTCTTTTTGCGTTAAAAAGAGAGTGTTGTTTAAATACACATTTTTTTTGGGAAAATATTAAATCAACCATTAACTTATAATATTTTTAAAAATATAAACAAATTAATTTTGTGAAAAGCAACTTAACTAGAATAAAGATGAATAAAGTCAAAAATATAATAATAAATATATAACACCGTAGCATTAAAGGAATTAAACAATTCTTTCAGTTTTTATAAATTTGGATGGAATATTCAATAAAATTAAAAATATTTAGCAGACGATTTCCTAGTTTCATTTTATATCTTTAAATGAATATCGATTTCTAATATATTTGTTATCAAAATAAGGTTTTACATACATCGACTTCCTTCTTTTATTAGAAAACAATTTTGAATAAGAAAAATTGCTTTAAAAGCTAGTGTTTCCGGATTTATTAGTATACTTTAAATTCAGGATAACTCGCTTTCTTTCTTAAATATTATCCGTGGGATATAAAAGACTTAGTGTTTAAATGGATTGCCTATAGTTTACGGCTTGCGATTAAGCACTGCCTTATCTACATTCGCCATCCAGTTGGAAACTGTCTTAGCTGAATTCCATAAATTACTCACTTTCTGCAAGCGATTGCAGCTGCACTGATTCTGTCGCAGAAGACGATGGCGTTTATCGATGGATGCTAAATCGATAGAGCACTACTCCAAAACAAGTAAAAAATAGGAAGGTTATTCAAATGACGGCGTGCTGTGACTCTGTCGTGCCTTCTACGACTCGGATTGAGGATTTAAACTCTCTCGTTTTTGGTTTTTACGTATGAAATTGGTGCGCATGAGACCATTCTTCTGTAGTGTTAACGTGCTCTACGTTCCACTCCTACCGCTACGAGAAGTGCAGCAGAAATCTTTGACCAACGTTTTGGCCTTAGTAAAGAAGACGGAATACAAATCAGTTTATTTGAAAAATTTGGTAGAATTTGATAACTACTTTGGATAGGCGAAATGAGTGTCGCCTAGTAGAGAATTAATGCTCTATTTCGAAAAGCATCCATCGTATCGCCATCTGACTATCTACATGATTACGATTACAATTAAACAATGTTTAATATTTATCTCTAACAACATCTCATTACTTTTAACAGTATTTTCTTAATAGTAATAATAGGTAGTTTCTTTAATCCAGTGACGTAAACTTGATCCATGACATATGAACAATATATATATTTGTATAAAAAAGTATTATGGTTCACAACATTGAAAACTATGACAAAAAAATGGGAAAGAAGAACTGATAAAACATCTACAATAATTAAACTCCTCAAAGAGCCTCAAAAATAGGATAGCTTTCTCTCGTTTGAGACTACATCAATCTACACATTTAAAGCTGCAAATGCTTTTATATTTATTGCGATTTTACTCTTGAAAGCAGTACTTGTTGAAAATAAAGCTTTTCCTTAAAATTGTTTTGCATTTAAAATAACAATTTATAAGCAGTTTTCTGTAAAAAGAACCTGCTCAAGTGAGATTATGGCCCTCTGAGAAGTTTAATTTTAATATTTGAAAGCAACATCATTGGTAAAGAAAAGTATTATGTGAAAACAGAATTTTTAATATAATAAAACTGAAGCTATCGTTACTGCTTTTTTCCCTAATATATAGTAACACATCTTTTCGGTAGCAAATAAATAGTTTAACTAAAAACTTAAAATTCTCAAAATGTAAAACACGCAAAAAATAATGTATTGGAAATTATTTTATACACATTTTGATTTTCACCAGAAAAAAGAACGTACAACTTTCTTAGAAATGTTGAGAATATGTTTATAATTTTTGTGCAGTCCACATGAAAGTTTCCGAGTTTTAAACATTATCTTTCAATAAATGTAAATTTTGGTATTTCTGTAGGCATATCGTAAAATTTTCCCTCCTCTGTATCTGAATTTACAATTATAAATTTGGTACATGATTTAAATTGCAATTTGAAATTAATCTGGAAGAAATAGATCTTATACAAAACATAAAATATACCATTGCTAAATACCATATGAATGAAATAGAAGAATTTTTAAAATAAAAATTACTTAAAAATGCGACTAACATTTCTTATCGGAAGATACTACAGTAAGTGGTTTAGTCTAGGATTCGAGGATTTTATTTGACTTAGTTTTGTAGAGTGGCAACAAAGCTGAGGCTCTAACCTCACAGTATGAAGCAATTCTTGGACCCTTTTTTTTCTAAGTTTACATTAATAAAACTTCCAGATGGGAGAAAAGGAATTTTCTATCACTGTACAAGTTTCAAAGGCTAGCACATCAGCTAAATTCGAAAAAAGGAATTTCGCCTCGCCACTGCATTATTCATGGTAATCCGTTGTGGACCTGCCCTTTAGCGATAGTGGATAGATTGGTTCTACTATAATAAGCTCCCGTTCATAGCCCACTTCTGCATTTTTCATGGATTGGGATCCTATCTATTTCAAGAAAAGAATTTTCTAGGATTTCCAGTCTGTACTTTGAACCTGATGTGATTCCATTTTCTTTCGAATTTCCAAATTTCGTTCAGCTGAAATACTTCTTTCTACCAGTAACCACATGGATAGAAAAGAACATTTTTGAAAGAATTGGAAGTGGCATAAAAAATTTCTTTTACTAATTATGAGACAATTTTCTCCAGTTGAAAGATATTTTAATAATATTTAAAACTCTTAATATGCTTAAAAATTACTAAAGATTTTTTTTTGCATTTATATAATTTAGATATTAAGCATGCTAATTGTGTTTTAAAGCATATTTGGTTGAATTCGAATTTTTTTTCATAAAATTTAAACATATATTTATCATTCACTTAACAATCACAAAGCTCTTTCATTAATAATAAAATTTTTATTTAATTAAGATCTTACAATAATTATTTTTAAAGAGCAATTAAAGCCTTTCTAAAATTATTATTTAGTCATATGCGTCATCTTTAAAGAGAGAAGAAATATTTGAACGATGTACAGAAATATTGCTTTGCTTAGATGATCCAAATCAAGAAATTATTTGTATATAGTAAACGCTACTTGCATTTAAAATAGTAAACTCGATTTAGACTACTTATTCGGTTGAAACATAAGTAATGGCCGTTTATGTTGTGTTTAAAATCCCGCAGTAAAAATAAAATGTATTGGCATAATGTTTTAGCTTATTCGAAAGACAATCTTACCTTCTACAAGATGGCGTATTTGATTTTTTTGTCTGAGCTAATTTTTGTTATTTTTCAGATCATTAAAATGGAGTGTCAAGTTGACAAAAATAAGCATTTTCGTCATCATCTTCTTTTTGTGGTTAATCGAGCCGCCAATGCTGCAGAATCTGCCCGAGAAATTTGTGAAGTGTATGGAGAAGGTGCAATGCCTAAACGAACTGCAAGAAATTGATTTGCCAATTCGACCTCGAAGACGCTGCTCATTCAGGACGACCAAATGAGTTTGACGAAGAGCGTTTGAATCAGCTTCTGCACTCGAGAATTAGCAGAACGAATAGGTTGTAGCCAAATGACTATAGTTCAGCATCTTGGGTCTATATTGGAAATTCCAAAAACTCGGATATTATTGACTAATTTATTGTTTTTTGTTCTGTTAAAATAAGCATTTTTAAATTAAAAAAACGGCCATTACTCATGTTTCAACCCAATAAATGCTATCTCGGTGTATATAATAATCCTTCTGAGTGACTTTATTTGAAGCAGGTATTCGTATTTCCCCACGAATGCACTGTGGTTTTCATTAGTAATGTTCATGCTTTCTATACATGTGGTTATTAATAATTAAAAATACTTCTCGCGGAGGGGAGGAGGGAAAAAGGATCATTTAAAAATTAATATATAAAGTGCCGTCAGCCATTTTGATTTTTTACCTCCTTTCTCCTTTTGGCAAAAATAACGAAATTTATAGGGGCTTCATTGATAATGAATTTAGACGTATTCAGCAAAATACTATTTTAATTTGTATATGCCTTTTATTTTTCAATTTTACATAAGAGTTATCCTTTTTCAACTTTCCTTTCCTCAACATAATTCCAGTAAATATCCAACACGTCAAGCTTAGCTCTCCAAATCTTCTAATTTAGATGCTTTCACTGTAAATTTTAATTCTTTCTAATAGAGAAGAGTAAGATATATATATATGTATATATATATATAGAGTAATATTACGTTTTCTATTATGTCACTTCCTTTCATTATAATCGCTTAATACTGGAATTCCTATGTGTATTGATTACAAATATATATACATATATAGATAATTTTTTAAATAGTAAATTTACCTCTTTCACCTTTATCTGTCCTCATATATATAATTTTCATTTAAACAAAAAAATTATTTGTATTAATATTTGTATTAAAGACATCACAAATTAAAATGATTTTTTTTTAGGGTTACAATAAATTTCTCCTTTGATTGCATTTCTAGAAACACAACTATCATTTTGCTATCTTGTGAGTTTTACTCAGAAGTAAAGCTTGTAAAAACCCTATTTTGATTTTAAAAAGTAATTGTAAGCATGAAGTTACCTCAACTACATTTTTAAATGTATCTTTATTTAAAAAAATTGTCGATTTTACCTTAATCGGGATGTCAGTAATCTCAAAATGAAAAACAACTACGTTTGAATACGTAAGGAGCAACAGCGAATATATGAAGTGATAAATTTTCACAGAAGGAAATAGTTTAATTACTTACAACTTCTTAGTTTGAAGCCCCTGAACTTGAAGAACTAGATTAAAAATTTATATAAAACATTTGGCAAGATACTGCATTCGCACGAATCTAAAAAAATATAAATTTATTCTATGATCAAGGTGAAGTTTTTCACGTCTTTTTCATTTAGTATCTGCTACTAAAAGAATAACTAAAGCACACTTTTTATTAACGCATTTTAACTACATTATTTTAAAATGCCATTTTAGGCTCTTGATATATATATCTGAAAATTACAGTTTTGTTTCGAACAATTCCTTTGTTATTGTACTTTAAAAGGGAGAAATAACTCTTTAAAAATTTGTTTCTCGCTTTTGTAAGATCATTTTTTGTATACGTTGACGGTTCTAAAATATGTCTAATAAATTCATCAACTAAATAGGGAACTGCCAAATTGCTGATATCAAAATGGCTGACTAAACACACGAATTTCATGTAATACACAAAAGTGGGAATAAAATGCCCTGATGCACGTAAATAGATCTGGACGACGTTAACATCAGATGGTTGACGATGAATGCAAAAAAGGACCAAACCCACAGAATCACGACAGACTCTTGTGGTGGTGGAATGTGGCTATGGCGACCTCTGACATCATCATATCGATGGGTTCTCTTGTGTCGTACAGCGTGGGGGCGTGCAGGATAATTCCGCAGGTGCCGACAAGAACAGCTACGGAAAAGATCCACAGGAATAGTCGGTCCAGAACCATTGCCACGTATTTCCAGTCCTCTTTCACCTGCTCAAAGATCCAAGAAAAATAATCTCACACAAACAAGTTATAAAACTGTTCACTTGCTAAAACTCTTAAATGCAGTTACTATACTAGGAGCTACACAAGTGATTCATGATTTAAACATTGTTAGCTGATGGATTTTTATAACTATGAAGTTCTTGTTTTATATCTAATTTAACAAATTAGCAATAGTTGAATGTAAGAGCATGTGGTTTTTTTTTAAATTACTAGTCAAATATGGGAAATTAATTTAATTTTTTATATTTCTTCTTCATTAAAAGGATGGAATGGGATGAATAAGTTCAAAATTTTATGAAAAATGAAATGCTTGTATTTGTTGTAAATTACTAAAAGGGACATAAAACTAAAATTCATCTTTTAAATTACATCATATAAAAACATACACGAATGAGATTCTGAGACCCGATACACAAACTCATCACTCTGCCATAAAAAGGACTGGTAACACGAGAATTTTCGGGCTTTCCCTTACGTATGATGTGGACAGTCCTCCGGGAAGGCGTTCCTTCCCTTAGGCGAAAAGCCCTTGTGTGCTTTGCCATATCTCAAATAATTCAACTCAATTCATCTTGAATTTCCTATTTCCAGTTTCATATATGCATCGCCAACAAAATATTGTTTAATAAGATTCTAATTTTAAGAACTGGAAAGGAAAAATATTTAATTTAAATATGTAGTTTTATATCCCTTTAAACGGAATACATAGCTTCCAGTATAAGTTACACCCATCTGTTTGAATTACTTGACTTTTTAAGTTTTATTTACTATGCAACCAGTCATGCGACATGCATTAGTTTCGAATATAGCACATCCTTAATATAATTCTATGCTTAACATGTACGATAATAGTGAAAAGTGTTCCGCTTAGTCTCAGCAGTCCCCACCATGCACCTTCTTTCCATGTTCTGGTTCTTACTTCAATGTTCCTCGTTTCGTGACCAATCCCCGGAGGACACAGTACTAAACTCTTTATTTATGTTTATTCATTTATTTATTTTTAATCGATCGACGGAATCCAACAGGCTGAAAAGCACCTAACCCAGTGGGCCAGTTGTTCCGTCGATGGTAAAAAGAAAGAAAGTCTCGAAATGACGCATTGTAGAAAAAGATTAGTACTCGTATTTTTAGAAAAGACAGCCGAAAAGGATTAAGCGTCTAATGCTAATTTAGATTATAATTTAGCTTTTACACATTTAAAAAATTTTTTTATCCATAGACCTTTTTAACAGGAAGGCGCACAGTTCACAACGCGCTAATGTGCCCAAATTGTAATCTCCTAATAGAAAATCAAATTTTTTGAACGAATTAAGCCCGCCGCTGACAGAGCTCTTTTAAGTAATACCTTTGTTGGTCTGGTAGCCACAAGAAAATTAAATTCTACTTTGATTTAGTATTTTCTCTTTAGTTTTTGCTGCTGAAAATACTTCAATTGTGTTTTGAAAACTTGTCTTAATTATTTAGTTATTTATTCATGTATGAGAGTTTTTTTTTCATGGGATGCAACGTTATTAGTATTTGAAATGCTTCTTTTAATGATAACATACTAAAAATGCCAATCGAACTATAGAAGGTTATTTGCACTTTAGGAAAAAAAAACCTTCTATTTTAATTTTCTTGATAGCATTTTGAAATAAAGATCGGCATTTTCAGTATTATCAACTGCTACTATGTATTGTTGATTAAAATGCGGAGTAAGAGTGATATGTTACCGAAACTTTTTGCTCGTTTTAAATGTTCCATTTGATAACCATTAATCTTCGCTATCTTTCTTCACCGTAATTTCCGAGACAATAAAGCTTTTTTTAGTAGCGGAAGAGGTATTTTATCCCATTCCTCTTCAACAGCTTTCCATAGTCCCAACAGGGTTGTAGGTCGACGTATGGACAATCCGCTTTTTAAGTCTAAAGCGCAACAATCTGTAAATAATACATCAGGAGATTAATAGGGATATGAGTAAGGATATGGCCTTGATACAGGTTTCTTGTTCCATTTTTTCAGGAAATTAACAGTGGATTTTGACATGCGGTGGCTGCTTGTTTTGTGTTGATGCAGACCTACTGATTGATGTCACTGGAAGGGGGTTAGGAGGGGTTAAGAGAAGATATTTCATATTTTAAAATTGGGTATAAAATATATTCCTGATTATATGTGGAGTTGACCTTAACAGCTTTCTGCACTCTCTTTAATTTTTATTTGTCATTATATCAAAAACTAGTAACAATCATAAATCCCTTTGAAAAACTTTAGATTCTTTGAACCATGTTCTAAGATTTTTTTCCCATTCTTTGACGGTAATAAATGGATATTTTCTTATTGCGGTCATTTAAATATACCCAAGATTAATCTACTTTGGCAACATTTTCCCATTTTGACACGGATAAATATTTCTCATAAAGAATTCTGCAGCAGTTCTCCACAAAGATTTCTTTTCGTGGAGAAAAACGATGCACATGATGTTTTTTCGTTCAGATTCAAACCAGCATCAATAACTTTGTTTAGAGTTGACATACATCAATAACTTTGTTTAGAGTTTAGAGTATTTTAATAATTATGTAACTGTCTTTTAACTTCGAAGATTGTCCTTTAGCATTAAAGTTCTTACCTTTGCTACATTCGAAACATTCCGTTTTTTTCTTGGATATGTATTTTAAACAATTTTTCTCCTTGAAGACAAACCTTAACGTTTTTTTCCTTTCTTATTGACAATATTATCTAACGTTGCTTTAGATACGGAAAACCCATGGCTTTGGAGCATTTTTAATAACTAAATACGAATAATTTTCTTCGGAAAGAGCACAAATATAGCCTTCTGTCTATTGGGTTTTTAAAAGCATCATTTTGTATGAAAACAAAACTGTCAAATAGCAGACGATAATTTTTACTTTCAAAAACATAGTTGCAGTTAAAAATTTATTTCCAAGCAGGTGATTTTTACTTCCTTGTACGAAGTAAAAAGGAAGTATCGTAATCGCGAAAAGTTTCAGGCAAAATATTTCAACAAAAATAGCCATTTTGACCGGTATCGAATGCAATTTAACTATGTTTTTCCTTGACATCTGTACGTAAGGACAGAATAAAAGACTCTTTTCCTCCAAAAAAATTATAAAACTGCTTTAAAATGAATTCTGAAGAGAATTTTTCGTGGTGTCTGTACGTACTGTACGTACGTATGTATCTCTCATAACTCAAAAACGAGTAGTCTCAGAACGTTGAAATTTTGTATATAGGACTGCTATAATATGAAGATGTGCACTTCGTATTTTGGTTGCAATCGGCCGCACCAAACGCGTATATAAATATATATCCACTCTGCTACCCGGCTCAGTGATCTCAGTTTCTTTACTCTTATATGTTTGTAAATTGTACATTTTTTGCTTTAAAAATGATTGAATTATGTTGTTCTTATCTTCCGGTTAAGGTTTTTATGCTTTACAAAATCTGCAAGCAATATTTGTATAATTATCAACAATTTAAAAGCTGTTTAAGTGCGGTTAAGCATAATATTTAAATAACATGGCGGACATGTTTCTTTACATTTGAAACAATAGAATAGTAGATTTGCTGCCAATCTAGAGATACTAAGCTTCGCAACAAGAAAGATAACGTCTTCTTTTATTATTGAGAATTAAATCATGCTTAAGCCTTTCTGGAATTTTTTCGAGGAAATAAGTGTTTAGGATTTACTTCGTAATTTTTAATATTGATATTTTCAGTTTTTATCTATTTTTGACTTGTAGCGAAGTGAGAACTGAATTAATTGAATGAGAAATACTGAGTGTTCTGTGAAAAGCTCTTTCTTTTTTGTTTTGTTTGCTTAATTTCTTTTATACATCATTCTAGATTTATTATAGCATTTGAATAGAATATGTGGCAGCGATTAGATAATTCTTCAAATGATATAAATTTTGTGCATTCTGAGTTATAATAGGAACGAAATATAACGCTGTTAAGTGAACCTAGCGCCAGAGTGTCGCTATATTGTAAACAAACATAGTGAATTTTAAAGAGTGCATTTATTCTATTGTGGTTTATGCGCTATCGACGAAGTAGATTTAATTGAATACAATAAGTTTAAACGAAATGCAAGAAAAAATGCGTATAATTTAATATTCTGTGCAAGGAAGTCATGTGGTGTGCACATCAAATTTTTTTATAGCAAAACAAAGTCGTCCGAAAATGTACGAACAGCCTCTATACACACAAACACAGAGGAAGCTATTATATAAACATTTTATGTAATATAATTAATATATATCAGTCAATATAATGATGTGTAACGTGTATATGAGTCAGTTTCCCTTAGAACGTCCTCCACGAACGCATCCCTCCCCTTAAGCAGATAGACTTAGTGTGCTTTGCCATAATAAAAAAACCAAACCAAACCAGGCAATATAATGTAAATACTTTCTATAATGTAGAGTGTTTATATAACAACTTCTGATAAAAATGAAAGCAAGCATTTGAATCTTTTTTTATTTATGATAAAATGAAAGCAAGTAACTGGAAGTTTAAAAAGACATAAAAAGTATTTCAAATTTCTCTTCTTATTAAATTCATATAAAAAGGGAAATTTTAAAGTAAAATTATACAATAGAAAAATTCCATTTTTAATTTCCAACTTGTTTAAATATAATTACATTTATAAACATCTTTACATATTTAATTTTCGAAACCTACCGAATTTCTGAAAATTATTTTCCAAAGTGTTATCATATAATTAAAAAACTAAATATTCTTAATAAAATTTACTGCTTATATTTTCATAAACTTAGCTTGAAGCAACGTTCTAAACGCAAATTTTATTATGCTTTTCTGGTAGAGGTCACAGTCGAACATCTGCTCCAAAGTAATTTCACAAAAGAATTATTTATATAAGATCTCTAATATATTTTTATCATGCATCACAGGTAGTACTGTTCTTTTCCGACAGCTATTTAATTTTCTGGAGTCGTAGCCCCAAGAGATATCCAATAACTCTTTTCAAG